CACTTGTTAACTATCTTCTTTGTGCCAGGCACAATGCTAGTAAACAAGGGAATGCAGCTGCAGACATGTCTTGACAATCAGTTTAATGACTACCTTAGTGGAGTTATGTGTAAAGTGTTAAAGGATCCCAGAGGACAATCAAGGCCTTGCACGGGAAGTACAGAAAGCATTGAAGAGAAGGCATTTAAGTAAGTATTGAAGCAGGCTCTGAGGAACTCCTATGTTTGAGAAACTCTGTTTCAGGAGCTCTGGCTCCCCAAGGCAGAAGCTGGAAACTCACTTTCCCCATCCCCTTTGTAGGTAGAACAGGCATGTGACATGGGCTTCTCCAAATCAGACACTTCTACTTGAGAATCAGCCTTGGAGAATTTGGAGAAATGTGACAAGGTGTGCTCAAGGTAGAGTGACAAAGGCCCAGGTACTCAGCATCCAGCATTGGGAGAGGGAACCCAGGCAAAGCAGCAGAAGTTGGGGGCTTCATGGGGCAAACCCCACCCAGGGTGTCCTTCAGAAAATCCACGAACTGTACACTATTCTTAGATAAACTCCTAATCCTCTTAAACTAACTAAATTAAGTTCTGTTTGTTGACTGAAAAAAATTATACAACCTAAAAGTTGAGAGTTATGTTTTATTTGGTGGATATTCTTAGGAATTCAAGCCCAGGAGGCAATATCTCAAGTAACCCTGAGGAAACTGCTCCAAAGAGGCGGGGGTGGGGGGGGGACCAGGATATATAGGAGTTTTACAACAAAGGACAGGTAGTCTGAATGTCTAAAAATTATTGTTAATGAAAGAAAACAGATATCTCAAGTTAAGGAATTTAGCGCTTTTCCATGTATGGGAAGGTGCAAGAGTCTGGGCTCATTGAAATCATTCCTTTGACATGCACCTCAGGCATTTGGGGCTAGTATCCTGTGTTTTCACATCCTGAGTTCCCTCAGGGCTCACCATTGTGCAGTCTTAAGGCTGCTAGATGGCAGGCATTCTTTGTTTCCTTCCTGAGTCCCCTCAGGGCTCACTGGCTCACCATTGGAGGTGGCTGCAATTGCTGATGACTGTGGCATCCTTTGTTTACTGACATTTGGCAGGCAATATTGTATTTCTCATGTTGATTGCAACTGTTGTTTGAAATGCAGATACAACTATGTGCATTACAAATAGAAAGATCCCCACTAAAAGACTTAGGAATAAAATCAGCACCATCCAAGTCAGTTGGAGGATGAGATTTCTCAATCAAAGAGAAATCATAAAATACAGGAAAAAAAGAATCAGAAAAGAAAAAGCATAATAAATGCAAAACCTTAATAAAATAGTAGAAATAAACTCAAGTCTCTCAGTCAACACAATCAATTTAAACATGTTAACCAAAAGGGAAAGATTGCTGCGAGTCTCGTGAAGGTTACTGCTTGTCACGAGGAGCAGACGTCACCATGAAGGATTTTAGTGCTTTTCTAGATACAAGGAGATGCAAGAAGTGGGCTCGTGAAATCTTCTCCTGAAAATATCTATCTGAACACCTGTTCTGCCAGTTTCTCCCAGAGCACAGAGTGCCTCATTCCTGATCTCCACCCCGAACTCTTTCAGGGGGTGTTGAAAGTCAGCAGCTGCAGTGACTCATAATTTAATCCTTGTAGAGGTAGATGGCAAGTGCCAATTTGTAGCTGACAAAACTGTCCATTCAGGACTCAAATCCAGTCAGGTCAGGATCTGCCCCCTCCCTTTCATTTCCTTCCCCAGGAGGGTGTATACATGGAGCTTTGCTGCCGGGGGAGAAGCATCCATCCATGTTGACTCCCCCTGAGATGTGAGAACTCAGTGGGCTTTGGTCATCCACACCTGTCCTCCCTGTACCTGACAGGGACAGAGTAAAGGGACAACGTAGGTAATTAAATAGTTAATCCTACTAGGGGATTGTAAGTAAAGAAAAAGTATGGGAGACTTCTGTAAATTAATGATCACTCAAGAAAGCAGGTTTGCTTAACCACAAAACCAAGCTTAGCAACAAAACCACACAACAGAAACATGAGACATGCCCCAAAACAATAAAACAATGGTGGCATGAGACCACATCCTGCCCAGTGAGCTCAGTAAGTTAAGAATTCTTAGGACATTCTCCATTGCACACACTATAAACAAAAGTATAAGGAAAAAGTGACATTACACTAAAACCTTAGATGATTTACAATTTTTAACGTATGTTACTGCCTTTTTGCTCATTTCCATTGCACCATGACAGTCCAGGCCTGACCATGTAGGGACAAGAAAACTCCCCTGCCCAACCTGGAGGAAGAGCTGATGATGGAAGTTTGATGTCTACTCAAGAATAAGGAAGAAGGTGGTCTTGTCCCCCTTCACACTTTTCCTTTAATTATAAAACTGGAGCCCACTAAGTTCTTGGGTGCAGCACCCTCTTGTAATCCTCACAAGCATCCTATTCTAATAAATGACATCTCATCTATCATTTTGTCTCTCACTGAATTCTTTCTGTGCTGAAATATAAAGTACTAGAGCTCCTCAGAGCCCCCTGAAATGCTATCTAGCAGTTTCAAAACTATTCTCTTAATAGAGATGATCTGCTTGGAATTTTAAAAATCCATGTGCATGTTGTTTTAAAAAATACAACTAAAAAGGGATTTAAAAAGCAATAAAAAAAAAAAAGTTGAAAATAAAGAAATGGAAAAATATAAACAAGGCAGAAGCTCAGAGCAGAGGTGAAGAGAGACCTTACACAGTGTGAAAGAAAACACCATCCTGAAGAGATACAGATAACGAAACTTTAATGCCTAATCCGACTGCATAGTACTCAGAAAAATGTATTGAATTGTCTGTTGAAATAGATAAATCAGTAAAGTGATTTGCTCTATCAGAACTGATTGATTAGAGAAAGGATGAGTGAATCTAAAGAAGCTCTAACAGCACAGTCAATGTGCTTTTACATGTGGGCACGTGCAGAATTCTGCTTTCACATGGGGCAAACTGGCCACATACTAGGTTAAAGGGCATTTCAGGGGTGTCTAAGTATGAAATCCTACAGACCACATCCCCTGACCGCCACAAAAATGGGAAAGAAGTGGCGAAAAAGACAGCCAAGTGAAAAGGAGGGAGGAAGGGAGCAAGGGACAGTGGTGCAGACCTAAGTGCCTGCCCAGCTCTCTGTGCTGCATACTTCCCAGGACCCTGCATCTGGGCAGGGCCATGTGTCCACTTCCCACTCAAGGACTGTGACAGGTCACTTCTGATGCCACTTCCAGACTAAGGCAGAAACCCAAGTGGCCCTCGTCTGATGCAGCCATAGTGGATATCATGTGCTGACATGGTAAATTCAGGTGGCGGAGAACTGTGGGCTGCAGGAAGCTCCATGCCATGCAGCTGCTGTTTTGGTTTCTCAGGAGTTAGTTTCCATACCATGTCGACTCACACAAACTAAGATCTTTCTTTTAATCCTTTCCACAGTGATATGCCCCAGATTTATGAAGGTCGTTCCCTCAGGAAAGGTAAGGAGAGAATGATATTGGGGTTGAGGGAAGGAACAGAGAATGTTGCATTCCTCTATAATGTTTTATTTCTTAAAAACAAAACAAACAAGAAAACCTGAGGCAGAGGGAATAAAACTTTCCTCATTTTGGGTGGTAAGTGTACTGATAGTTGTTATCCTACCCTATGTGATTCCTTTGATGTATTTTTTTAATTTAAATTTTGAGTAATTATTAATATTTGGGGAAGAAAAATACCAAAATTTTCATATTTTTAGAAAGTAGAGGAATCTAAATTTTCAACAATAGGGACCATTTTATTCAGTCCAAAAGAGGGTCTGGGTCCTGAAACCTGGAAGCCCCCAAGAAGGTAGAGTGCATCAGCTGTGAGCATGCGGGACCTCGAGGAAGCACAGAAAAGTTTGCTGATGAAACTCTCTGGGCTGCAGCTACATAGGGTTCAGATGCACGGCGTCTTCTACAGAATCTATTTCAACTAAGAAAGGGATTCACATGCAAGCTGACCTGGCATCTCAGAAGCCCAGGGCTCTGCCGCTTTAGCCTTCCTGAGAGGTGCTGCTGCCCCTGGCCCTCTTCAAGACCACAGTAATGAGAGCACCCGCTGAGCAGTAACAGCACATTCAACAACATCCAGATGACTCTTCTAACTCAGGGCTTCATGAAGAAATAATAATAGCCACAGAATTAACTCAGAATTACGAAACCCAGCCCCTGGAAGAACAATAGCTAGGTAACTGGAGCATCAATGCAGCAGACACTGTGATTCCAGGCAATGCATGGTGACATAGAGTCCCAGTCACCCTAAGGTCCTGTGTGAGAGGAGTGGCCCTCAATGTCACAAGAACAAGAGATAAGTCTCCTCTATTGAGAATCCAGCCACGAGGAGTGTTCATGCATGCCCATCACATCTGGGATACCAGGTGATGTGACAGGACCCTAGGTTCCTGTTCCCACCTTTATGCTGTCATACCAGGCATTCAGAATTCTGCCCTAAGTTGAGCAATCAGTGACGTCAGAAGACACAGCAGGAACAGCCCTGTAAAAGTCCTCTAAGATGGACCCCCTAATCTTGACTTGGGTCAAGATCACACAGACAATTCAAAATCTTATCCAGGCCATAGCACCAGAAGCTACCCCAGCCAGTTAGAATAGCTTCTGCATTTGTCAGGAATAAAGGATGAACACCTCCAACCAGGCTCTGTCTTTGGTGTCTTCCAATTTTCTTTGAAAAAAGAAAGAAAGAAAGACTGTCTTTTCCATGAGAGGTGGCAGCTCCCAGTCAGACTGACCCTGAAACAAGCAGCCATCCTGGGACTCACTGCCCACAGCAGCTGTAGGCCTCAGCTCCCAGCTGCTGCCTGGGATCCATCACATCTGTCCCCTTAAACTGTGAGTGAAGTAAAGGGACAGGGCTCATTCTCTGCTTCCTCTGGAAGGAAGAGTGAGTCCAGGTTGTGTACAGGTGAAACCTGGGCCCTCATCACATGGAGGAGACTGTGACTCACCATGGTAGCAGTGAATGGTATGTTGTCAATCAGGGACGATGCGATGGCTGAGACCCAGACCACCAAGATGATGGCAGCTGCAAGGCGCTGATCTTCTGGGACCATCTGGAAGAAACAGATAAGAGCAGGGCAGTGTATCATAGCTACATAGATCACACGCACTGAGGATCTGATGCTAGGACATGTGAGACTCAGAAGGGACCACAGGGCTCTTGGTCCTTCCTCTTCCACACAAGGAGAGCAAGGGAGACCTAGGTGTGCAAACAGGACCAACTGGGCTTTCCCAACCCCTACCAGGAGCCTGGGCCAGGGTCTACAAGTAACTGAGAGGAGTGACTCCCAATCATGCTCAAGCCAACAAAACCTTGGGGGCTGGGACGGGGTGGGGGGAAGCAGGTCCAGTGTTCCCATTCCTGGTGGGACACCAGGTGACACACTGGTCACACTGACCTCACTTCCCGTGTGGTGACCCTAGGCTGCGAGCTCTGTGAATCACTTACTGAGACTGCTGTATCAATTCTCTCCTTCCCAGAAAGGTTTTAACTAAAGGCTAATAGCAAAAGTGCAGGCATCTGTAATTATATATTCTTTGAAAAATCTCTTTTCATCTCTTACCTACACAGGATAAAATAGGTTCCTTGATATACTTTTTTATATAATTAATGTGACCTATTTTGCCAATTAAAAAAAAAAATCAAAAGAATAGTGGCTGGAGCACATCATATTGCAGTATTTAATGTACCTTTATTAGCAAAGCAGTCTGTTCTCCAACATACTCTATTAAGTGGAGATGTGCCAATGCCTAGAAGAAATAGAGGTATGATAAGAATCAGTTTAAAACTGAGAATATATCAAATTTTTAAAAACATGTCTTTAAAATGAGAATAAGTGAACATGGCACTCTCATTTTTTTATAAAAGATCAAACACACAGTCTATAAATAATTTACTGTCTTATATTCACACTGAAGATTCATTGAGAAGAGCACAATACCAGAGGCAGGAACTTCTCATTAATTTGAGTTAATATCCATGCTAAATTTACATTTGGATGGAAGGCCATTTCTTTATTTTAAGATCGCTGTATAGGAGTACTGTTCACCTGTATATAATGAAACGCCTCTCCATATAGAATGTCTTGCAAGTAAGTTGCATTTCAAATTCCTTTTTAAAGCTAAGCATCACAGAGTTTTAGAAGAATATAAAGAAAATGTATGGTTTTCATAACTTTCAAAGAAACGTCTATTTAACTGAAGCATGTACTAGACAGATTCCGAAAATTGTGTCCAGAGAAAGGTAGGAAAGAAGATTAGATGGAGACATAAGTTCAGGAGCCATTCTGCTCAGTCTGCCCACTTTGTCCCAGCTGAGGAGGAGATCTTCTGCTGTCCATGACAGATCCCAGACAGGAAGCACCGAGAGGGAGCCAGACATGGGGGTGACATAGCTACCTAGAACCTCTCAAATGTGGCCTTTTCACTGTGATGTCATCATGGTGAATGATTACAAATACTGAAAACATCAGCTGGACTATGTTTAAAAAAGAAAGTCAAGATATGAGGAAAATACAAATGGCCAATAGATACTCCTTTATAAAATGACAAATGAGATAACTATGTAACTCCTAATTCTATCAAATCTAAAGTTGTAAATATATACTCTACACTTCAGCAAACTAAAGTTTATGTATAGCTGAAGATTATATGCATCACTTGTCTCCTCCATCAATTTATATAGTGAAAAGATGATTGTATAATGATGTAAATCCCTCACAATATGAAACATAATTATCCTTCTGTTGCAGTGACTAGTTGCAAAAAGCTGGTTCAGCAATGATCTGACATCCCTGTTCCACTGAAATTAGACAAATACAATAAATCAATGCCACTACTTTTTTCAAAATGAGGGACTAGGAGGTCTTAAGGTCCCTTCTGCAGCTAAATAAATAGACCATGGATAAAACACACTTTTAGGGCATTACTGGATTAGCAAGACAATGTAATGTTTTCCAAGGAATCTCCTTTCCCATGAAAATATTTCTTGCAGCTGGCTGGGAGCTTCAGACTTGAATGGCAAGGAAGGATGAAATTGCCTTGAGCTTGATGCCAACCAAGGGCTGAAGTCAGAGCACTGAGGTGTGAGCAGCAGCAAGGTTGTAGGCTGAAACAGGGATTCTCACACTGCACTGACAGCCTCGAAACAGGCTGAAAAAATTATCCCCTGGCATCCAGCAGAGGCAAACAAAAGAATTTTATGGAAGAAAGAACCCCAAATGTAGCCTCTCAAGAGTCTCACAGATTAAGATCAAGTAACAAAATTATAATCTAGGGTCATCAAGAATACAAGAAGACAAGTAACATGAACAAGAGCAGAAATAACCAAAACAAATTTGGATATACCACCAACATGCAAGAATGAGAATCCACAGGTACTGGATATAGTAGAGGAATTTTGTTTAAAGAAAATAGAGTTGAAGAGTGTAAGTAACAATTAACGTTTGCTCTTGATGAGTTAAGAATATAAGCTGTCATCTCTAGAGTAAACCACTAAAAGAGAGTGTAACTGCCAAAAAGTGGGAAATCAAATTTAACATAACCCTTAATCAACTCAGATAAAGGAGAAAAAAAGATTGAAGATAAAAATATACAAGGTCAGGGAGGCCTTCAAGATGGTGGAGAAGACGTGGAGATCACCTTACACCCCACAAATACATCTATATGTGGAACAACTCCTACAGAACACCTACTAAACTCTGGCAGAAGACCTCAGACTTCCCGAAAGGCAAGAAACTCCCCATGTACCTGGGTAGGGCAAAAGAGAAAAGAAAAAACAGAAACAAAAGAATATGGATGGGAACCAAGCCTCTGGGAGGGAGCTGTGAAGGAGGAAAAGTTTCTACACACTACAAAGCCCCTTCACTGATGGACACGGGGGCTGGGCGGAGGGGGGGGGACACCGATTCTGAGCCAGGGAGGAGAAAGCAGCAACAGGGGTGCAGAGGGCAAAGTGGAGAGATTCCTGCACAGAGGATCGTTGCCGACCAGGACTCACCAGCCCAAGAGGCTTGGCTGCTCACCCGCTGGCTGGGGCAGGTCGGGGCTGGGAGCTGTGGCTCGGGCTTTGAAGGTCAGATCCCAGGGAGAGGACTGAGGTTGGCTGTGTAAACACAGCCTGAAGGGGGCAAGTGCACCACAGCTAGCTGGGAGGAAGTCTGGGAAAAAATCTGGACCTGCCTAAGAGACAAGAGACAATTGTTCTGAGGTGCATTAAGAGAGGGGATTCAGAGCATCGCTTATACAACCTCCAGAGACTGACACAAGCCATGGCTATCAGCACAGACACCACAGACAGGCTGGAACACTAAGGCTGCTGCTGCAGGCACCAATAAGCCTGTGTGCAGGCACAGGTCACTATCCACACATCCCCTCCCCAGAGCCTGTGCAGCATTTCACTGCCAGGGTCCCGTGATCCAGGGACAACTTCCCTGGGAGAACACACAGCTCGCCTCAGGCTGTTGCAACGTCACGCCGGCCTCTACGGCCACCACGGGGTCGCCGTGCATTCCATACCCCGCCCTCCCCCCAAGCTTGAATGAGCCAGAGCCATCTAATCAGGTGCTACTTTAACCTCTCCTGTCTGGGCAGGGAACAGATGCCCTCAGATGACCTACATGCAAAGGTGGCGCCAAATCCAAAGCTGAACCCCAGGAGCTGTGCGAACAAAGAAGAGAAAGGGAAATCTCTCCCAGCAGCCTCAGGAACAGCAGGTTAAATCTCCACAATCAACTCTATGTACCCAGCATCTCTAGAACACCTGAATAGACAACAAGTCATCCCAAAACTGAGGCAGTGGACTTTGGGAGCAACTGTAGACTTGGGGTTTGCTTTCTGCATCTAATTTGTTTCTGTTTTTATGTTTATCTTAGTTTAGTATTTAGAGTTTATTATAATTGGTAGATTTGTTTAATGATTGGGTTGCTCTCTTCCTTTTACATACATATATATATGTGTGTGTGTGTGTGTGTGTATATATATATATATATATATATATACACATATTTTTTTCTCCTTTTTCTTTTTTTGTCAGTGTGTATGTGTATGCTTCTTTGTGTGATTTTGTCAGTATAGCTTTGCTTTTGCATTTGTCCTAGGCTTCTGTCTGTCTTTTTGTTTTTTGTATGGTCTTTAGAACTTGTGATCATTGGTGGATTTGTTTTTTGGTTTCGTTGCTCTCTTCTTTCATTCTTTTTTACTACTTTTTAATTTTTAAAATATTTTAAATTTTAATAACTTTAATTAATTTATTTATTTTTGATTGTCTCCTTTACTTCTGAGCCTGGTGGCTAACAGGGTTTAGGTGCTCTGGCCAGGTATCAGGCCTGAGCCTCTGAGGTGGGAGAGCCAAGTTCAGGACACTGGTCCACCAGAGACTGCCCAGGCCCATTAAATATCAAATGGCAAAAACTCTACCAGAGATCTCCACCTCAATGTTAAGACCCAGCTCCAGTCAATAACCAGCAACCTACAGTGCTGGACACCCTATGCCAAACAACTACCAAGACAGGAACACAAACCCACCCATTAGCAGAGACACTGCCTAAAATCATAATATATTCACAGATACCCCACAAAATACCACCAGACACGGTCTTGCCACCAGAAAGGCAAGATCTAGCCACATCCACAAGAACACAGGAACCAATCCCCTCCACCAGGAAGCCTACACAATCAACTGAACCAACTTTACGCACTGGGAGCAGACACAAAAACAACATGGACTACAAACCTGCAGCTTGTGAGAAGGAGACCCCAAACACAGTAAGTTAAGCAAAATGAGAAGACAGAGAAATAACAAAACAGATGAAGAAGCAAAGTAAAAACCCACCAGTCCAAACAAATGAAGAGGTAATAGGCGGCTTACCTAAAAGACAATTGAGTAATGACAGTAAAGATGATAAAAAATATTGGAAATAGAATGGAGAAAATACAAGAAACAGGGACCTAGAAGAACTAAAGAGCAAATAAAAAATGGTGAACATCACAAAAAATGAAATTAAAAATTCTCTGGAAGGAATCAATAGCAGAATAACTGAGGCAGAAGAACGGATAAGTGACCTGGAAGATAAAATAGTGGAAATAACTACCACAGAGCCAAATAAAGAGAAAAGAATGAGAAGAATTGGGGACAGTCTCAGAGACATCTAACACAACATTAAACGCACCAACATATGAATTATAGGGTTCCCAGAAGAAGAGGGAAAAAAAGGGACTGAGAAAATATTTGAAGAAATTATAGTGGAAAACGTCCTTAATATGGGAAAAGAAATAGTCAAGCAAGTCCAGGAAGCACACAGAGTCCCATACAGGATAAATCCAAGGAGAAATACACCAAGAAACATATTAATCAAACTATCAAAAATAAAATTCAAAGAAAAAATATTAAAGGCATCAAGAGAAAATCAACAAGTAACATAAAAGGGAATCCCCATAAGGTTAACAACTGATCTTTCAGCAGAAATTCTGCAAGCAAGAACGGAATGGCAGAACGTATTTAAACTGATGAAAGGGAAAAACCTACAACCAAGATTACTCTACCCAGCAAGGATCTCATTTAGATTCAACAAAGAAATTAAAACATTTACAGACAAGCAAAAGCTAAGAGAATTCAGCACCACCAAACTAGCTTTACAACAAATGCTAACAGAACATCTCTAGGCAGGAAACACAAAAGAAGGAAAAGACCTACAATAACAAACCCAAACCAATTAAGAAAAAGGTAATAGGAACATACATATTGATAATTA